GCAGAAATTCACGAACTGCATTGGTTTTTCTAAGTCTGTTAACCCAGTAGCGAACTTGAAGGGATCCCCGCTGATAACAATTAATCTCCCCGGACCTCACCCTTTGCAAGAGCATTGTACTTTGAACTACAGATTGCAAAAAAGAAAAAAGAGGGGGGGGGAGAAAAGGGGGGTTTCCCCCTTACTAGAAAGCAAACGATCATTTTAAGCGGAGGAGCACTCAAAATGTTCACCAGAGGTCACTTTGGGAGAGATGTGGCAGCATAGAAATGCCAGAATCAAGTAGTAAATTAAAAACAATCGTTTTGACAGAGATGAGAATTACTGTCTCTCTCAGTCTCTCATTGAGGAGGTAGAAGTTGTTGTTGTTGTTTTAAAAAAAAGCCTGTCCTATATCTATCCCATCCCTAGCTTCAAAAGGGATGCAACCCTCCACTAAATGACAGTTTGGGAAAAGAATGTAACTCTGCGAATAATGCCACATTAGCATGGTTCACAATTTTTGACTGGCACCGATGCATATTTACGAGCCTGGATTGGATTTCCAACTTGCTCAAACTATATATTACAAATAAAGGACTCCTTATTTTATTTAGTGATAAATTCTGCATCTAATATTTTTGTACGTATAAAATAGAAAAGAGGAGGAGAAAGTGGGGACATCTATCTATCTATCTATCTATCTATCTATCTATCTATCTATCTATCATCTATCTATATGATAGATAGATAGATAGATAGATACCATAGATGATAGATAGATATAGATAGATAGATATAGAGATAGATATACACATACACATACTAACTACACTTAGTTCTTGACTTACAATCTAGCAACCATTTGAAAATGGCACTGAAAAGTATGGCTTTTTTCACCTGAGGTCCTTATCCTTACCGACAGTTGCAGTTATCCCCAGGGCCACGTGATCAAAATTTGAGCACTTGGCAACCGGCCTGTATTTATAATGGCTGCAGTGTCCTGGGATTACTGGATCACCATTTGAGGCCATCCCAGCCAGCTTTTAACAAGTTAAGGTCAATGGCAGAATCAGGAGTCACCTAATGACTGCACAACCAGGTCCAGTGATATGATGACTTGTTTAACAAATTCATCACTTAAGAGACCCCAATTCCAATCCAAAGTGAAATCAGGAGTCAAGGAGTATCTGTATAAAAATATAACAACATATACTCCCCGCAAAAATAGGAGCGTCTGCTTTCAAACGTCTATGATGTGTTGACTCAGGAGAGTGGTTCTATCTGAAATTATTTCTGTCTAAACATTTCTGGCTGGAGACGAGATTGCCACGGGGTAGAGGAGACAGACTGAAAACACAAAATTGGGAACAAATTGTTTGCCGTATCCTTAAGAAGCCGTTGAAGTGGGAAGTGGACAGCCCAACCTGCAATCATTTCCAATACAGTAAAACCAGGAGACGATGTTTGTTTATTTACATCCTGCATTTATTTATTATTTTTATAAGTAACTCAAAAGAGGGATAACGTATCGAATGCTCCTTCCCTCCTATTTTCCCCACAACCACCATGCAAGGTGGGTTTGACAGAGAAAGAGAGAGGGACTGGCCCAAAGTCACCCAGCTGGATTTCATGCCTACAGCAGAACTAGAACTCACGATCACCCTGCCAATACCCAGGTGCCTTCACTACTAGTCCAAAAGGGGAGGGGTGGGGCTTTTAATCTGCTCCATCAGTCTCCGCCTTTGACCTTCTGCAGCCAGTGGCAAAATTATTTTGAACTTCCCCCAGACAGGGTTGGAGGCATATGCAAATTGCTCCTGAGGTGACCAGCCTCCCCTGGCAGGTGGGTGCCAGGCTGCCCGCTTTGAGCACCTTTTCTGCAGAGCCTTACAGGGGAAGGGGCTCCTTTGCCAGTCTGCCACAGGATATCTGCCAGCGCCCTTTCACAACACTGGGCTCCAAGAGAAACAGCAAGGCTACATATGCCCAGATTTAAGCCCCCCCCCTTTGAACTCCATCTTTAAATCCCTGCTAGCCCCACCCAAGAGAGGCATATTCGGATTTAGAAGAGTCACAACAGCCTGTCTGGATTCCAAGCACATCCGAAGTCAAAAGCCCAAGAGTGCAAATCAGCAATCAAATCAGCAATCGTATTTTTAACCCGGCTGCAAAACTTTTTGCACTCGCCAGCCAGATCCCTCCGGCCTGGGTACAGCTGAGTCATTGTAGAAGCTTCCGAATTGCCCAGAGTCAGAAGATGCTGTTTTCCCTCCTTGGCAAGGGCGGTCGTCCCTACCCCCCATGGGCTGGGATCTCAGCAAACTCAGGCAATGCTGCAGTTCTCGTGCCAGACACTCTGCCAGCTGCTGCATCAAAACCCAGCAAGGAAGCTGCCTGCTGAAATCTAGCTCCAGACACAGCATCCTAGACTTCTGGCCAGAAGAGCGACCTTCTCCAAGAGAATTCTCCCTCTGCCCAATAATACACAGGAACCTCTCTTCCCCGTGGATGATAGTTCCCACCTAAATATTGCATCTGCACCCCCACCCCGTTGCAAAGTCATTGCATGGGGGTGGGGCTGGAGGAGAAAAATAAACAGATCTACACAGAATTAGAACCTGGCACACGCCATACAAGCCCACTACTAATTCCCAAGTGTAAAATTTAGAGTTGGAATTGGACATCTCTTGTTCCCACATCCTGTCCAGGGACTTTCGATGCCTGAGCCCTACTTTTTTTCTTATCAGGGTGAGGTTTCTACAAAAGCTGCAGTCTTACAATGCAGCATAAAGTTGAATGAACAAATATAAACTCAGCTTCTGAGTTTGCCACCAGACTCCGTATTGTTTTTAAAGAGCATGGAATAGAAAAATCTGGTGCTACTCCTAACCCAATTGTCTGCCTAGTTTCTCTTAAAGCGAGTAGGATGTTAAGTGTTGGGTTGAGCTAAAAAATGGGGGCAGTGAAGGGTTAATTAATTCCCTGTGCCCAATAATTCTTCACACGGAAGTATATTTAGTATCAGGGTCACTATACAGATCACGCCATGGTGCTGGAATAATAGAATTCAAATGCCAAAGGAACAGAAAGAGAACATTCAACTATTTCTGCAGCGCAAGCATGCCTCTGGAGCACAGTCTCAGACAATGAACGCCTTTAAACCAGAAAATAAAATTTATTTTTCCATCAGCTGCAACTGTGGAATTTGTCCATTTGATGTCAGAGCAAGTTCCCTTCAAAGACAAAAATGACAATTGGATAAATCGCAAGTCCTGCTCACCACCCAGCACTGAAGCTTACAGAAAACCTGAGAAAATTATTCTGAACTTCCCCCAGACAGGGTTGGGAATTTTTCCTCTTCTTGGAAAAACCCTTCAGTGCTGTCTACATGCTATTTAGGAGTTGTTGTTTTTCCCATTCCCTACTGTAAGAACTCTTCGACCCACATGGGACATGGTGTTAAGGATCCCATTTTGATCCTGCTGACCAAACACCACTAACTTTTATTCTCCTCTCCAAAATCACCTATTGTTTTATACCTTCCCACGGTTGGCAAGTTCCAGTTTTGCCCCACCTCAAAATGTCTGAAGGACCAAGCCCTGTGTGATGAGCATACCCTACAGCAAGACAATGAGTTAAAGATTACAACTGGAAGGCTAATACTTCTGAAACAACCGGGAGATGCCAAGAACGGCTAAGAGCAGCCCTATTATATAAAGCCTTCTACAGACCGGCCACTGTCATTCAGAGCCTCACCAGCCACAACCTGAGGCCATCTGACGAAAGGCTGCGGTTTAATTTGCCAATGCCAGACGGCTAATGCCAGCAATGGCAACAAGGAAGTACAATGAGGTGTGGTTCTTCCCTACTGGCTTTTGAGCTGTCCGTATATGTAATCCTTGATGGCCTTGCACAGCTGCAGGAAGACTATGGCAGCATGAAAGAGTTGATCTTAAGTCCAGTTACAATGGATGGACAATCTTAACTCCAGTTACAACAGATGGATACCAAGAAGCTTCAGCAATCTAAGAGGCAGACAAGTGGGGGTTTGTTTGTTTGTTTTAATTAGCCCCTCCAAAGCCACTCAAAACCTATTTGGATTCGTAGGTGGATGCCATAAGGGCTTGTAATGACCTAGCCATTAAAAATCCTACCAATATGTATATGTGGAGAGGTCCTCCATAAGACTATAGGTTCCAAACCTTTATCGCGGATCCTGGAAAATCTGGTATTAATGCACAACACACTCATTCACCACAATAGGTGCCTAGTCCTTTTGACCAAGAAGGTTGCATCTTCTTGAAACATCGCATTAGCAAACGTGAGAAGTTAATCCTGTATGGAACAGGTATAAGCGTTCCATATTTTAGGGGCAGCTTAGGTTTAAGGAAAAATTGAGCACAATCTTCTCAAAGATTAAAAGTACAAGTACATAAAATAATAATAATAAACAAACAGCACACAAAAGGAAGAGTCCTAACCCCAGATCTAAAGAAGCATTGTCACTCATCCCTTTAATGTTTGGCTCTGGAGCATCCAGTAAGCAGCTGAAAATATCCCCCCACCGTCTGAACACACACACAACACTACTCTTACTACAGGAGTAACCAGTCTAAAATCATCCTGGAATCACTGGGGAGTTCAGGGCTGGATAAATAAACGCCAACCCATTTCCATCGACTCCGTCACAACAGTCTGCATACCATCCATGTGCCTGCAGCAGCACCATCCCCAAAAATGTGGTTGGGAAAAAAAAAACTTGCTTCCAAATATTAACCCACATATTCTCTGTAGTGCTTTCAAACTTAGAAAGTTGTGACTCCATATGGGTGGGTTAGGAAGGAAGGAAGGAAGGAAGGAAGGAAGGAAGGAAGGAAGGAAGGAAGGGTGGGAGGAAGGAGGGAGGGAGGGAGGGAGGGAGGGAAGGGCCAGGGATCTGATCTTTCACCAAGACCAGTGACAGAGAGCTGCAAAAGGCAATCCAGCAACTGTTGCTGTGCGTCAGCAGATTCCCTTACCAGACTGCGTGCTTGACTGGGCTGCAGCATCTGTGTCCTGGGTGCTCCACGGCCTATCCCACCCTGGCAGGCTGAGGGACTGCAATCCAAGGCACAGGTCGCTGGTGTCGGGCAAACCACGCGGAGACTCCTGGACAGAAGCGGGGAAGAGCATCCTGCTGGCGGTCCCTGCTCCCTCGGAGTCTGGAAACTCTGCTCAAACAGGAAAGGGGGGACACACACAGATACACACAATGAAAAGCCACACCGGACCCACACAGGTGTAGGCGAGTTCCCCGCCCGGTCCGATCTCACAACGCTTCCGTAGGCAGCGACTTCTCACATCCAGCCGGACTGAAAGTACCATATGGCCTGTAAACAGAGCTGCCTCTACCTTCCACCTTCCTATCCCGCTTGCACTACCGACTGGCCCAGCATGTGACCGAACTGCTGATACTTACCGTGTGCCATAGACGTCACTCGGCCATGCAACACAGGCACATCTTCGCTTAGAGGAGAGAGGTGGAGAGCAAACCTGCCCATGGGAGTCTAGGCAGCATGCAGGAGGTGCAGCCGCCACCAGCCAGCCCCAGGAACGTCTCTCTTACAGCAGAGAGAGAGAGCGAGCGAGCGAGAGAGACACGAGACGAGACGAGCCGGGGTTTAGCTAGCAGCAATGCAGGGAGGTGGCTACAGTCAGCCAACCCTCCAGCAACAACTGTAGCTGAGTGGCAGCCACCGAGAGAGAGGGGGAGAGGGAGGGAGGGAGGGAGAGAGAGAGAGAGCGCAAAAGAGAGAAGAGAGATCACACTGTCCGCTTGGTGCTTCCTTCTGGCCCCGCCCATACCCACCCCCAAAATCTCCCACCCCCGGAAAGCTTCCAGCTGCCGGCACAAGCCCTCCAAGGCAGGGAAAAATGCAAAGCTTCACAATTCTGCTAGCATCATCTCTTTGCTTTAAACTTGGCAATCGGTTTCGCTGTCTCTCTGCATCGTTTATGACTATGGATAGCCTTTAAAAGGGGGGGTGGGGCGGGGGAGACTCAGCTAGAAATTTGCCTACAGACTTGAAAAGAGCGCAATGCCCAATATAGAGGGTCATAAAAAGGAAGCATCCAGCACCCTAAAACATCCTTTTCTTCTCCAACGGCCGTAGTCACAGGTTTCTTACGGAGGCTTCATCGCTCTCTGCTTGTGACTTCACCCAAAACATGTTTATAAGGGGGGGGGGGGGGGAAAGGCAGCGTTATTTTTTCCCAAGTCCAGCATAATGCAGAGATAGGGGTGGGAACTGGGCCACGGGGAGGTTATCTCCACTGCAAACTCCATTTTCCTTCTTTCTACAGCATCCTTATCGCACCGAGACCAATTTCTTATGCCATCCTCTGGGCCTGCTAAGTAAACGGACTTGTTTTCCTAGGTCTGGGCCTGGTCTCAAGAAAATCTCCTTCCAGGATTAGTTTACATTTTTAGGAAGAACAGCCAATGCAAAACTAGCAGGATGTGAAAGTCAGCATATTGCAAATAAGGGCAAGTCCATGATTATCAGTTATCTAACTTTCGGATTTTAGGTAAGTAAATACTGCTTAAAACCTAGGATGCCTCAATGGAGAAGCTGGGTTGATTCAGGGCTTAGTTCTTAGCTGTCACAACCATTAATGCCAAATAGATCTTCTTGCCTTTAGAAAGCGAGCGAAGTTTTGGCCTTAAATCTTTAAACTAACATAGTTTGTTATCCTTGCAAGGTGGCTTGCTTTATGCAAACTTTGCTAAATATTTTTTTTTCTGCAAATTTTTCTATTAGCACTTCTGATTATGCAAATAGAAAATAAAAGAAAACTTCTGATATTATCCCAATGATATTCTCATCCGTTAGCTAAAGTTGCAAAGCTTAAGTTTCAACTCTCTTTTTTTAAAAGTTGCAATTAAAATGTTATTTTAGGCTGTTTATCACTTTGAAATCAATAACTAAAATATAAGCTGGCTTCACGCGTTATACCAGAGGTCTCCAAACTTGGCAACTTTAAGACTTGTGGACTTCAACTCCCAGAATTCTGGGAGTTGAAGTCCACAAGTCTTAAAGTTGGCAAATTTGGGGGCCTCTGCATTATACGAAGCCACCATGTGCTTTGCTGGTATGGTGTTGTATAAATCTAGCCCATTCTGTCTGAGCCAGATAGAATTAAAGCGGGAGGATAAAACACTAGCTAGATGTGAAGATAACATTATTTTGCTAGCTGGAGTAAGGAAGACTTATTAACGGGGGTTTCCAATCAGCAATATAATCTTTTCTCGGATTACAGAAATCACTTTTGCCATCTCGGCCAGTTCTATCATCTTTACCAGCCATTCTCCTATTGTGGCTGATGGTTTATGGGGGCTTCTTCTAGTGAAAACAGCCGATGCTTCCCGGGACAGAAAGGGTGTATTAGATTAGGAAAATATAGCAAAATGTTTAGTCATGCAATTCCCTCCAGCATAACTTGGCAGGAATTATTCAATGACATTTGAACCAGATTTCCATTTTAGACTTTTAAAAGATGTATCAGTGGTTCAATCAGAAAGTGGCCAGCAACGTTTCCTTTTTACTGGACAGGAGCAAATCTCATCCTAATAATAGGATGAATACTGAGAAGAATACTGGATGGGCCAGTACTTCAAGGGGGAAGTCTCGACTTACGACCACAATTGAGCCAAAAATGTATGTTGCTAAGCGAGACATTTGCTAAGTGAATTTTGCCCCATTTTATGATCTTCCTTGCCATGGTTAAGTGAATCACTGCAATTAAGTTAGTCATCTGGTTGTTAAGTGAATATAGAATATTCCCCCATTGACTCTGCTTGTCAGGTAGTCACAAAAGGGGATCGATCACGTGACCCCAGGATGCTGCCACCGTCATAAATACGAGTCATTTGCCAAACGCCTGGATTTTGATCACGGTGACCCTGGGGATGCTTGCAATGGTTGCCAAGTTTGAAAAACGCTCCCAATTTCCTTTTTTTTTTTTCAGTGCCATTGTTAAACTTTGAACGGTCACTAAATGAACTATTGTTTAACTCCAGGGCTCCCTGTCATCCGTGGCCTCTTTCCTGCTTCCATTCCACACAAAAGCAAAATCCATGCAAGTTTTTAATCACAAGAAAATGGAGAGCACGGAGCAAGCTTCCTAATATCCGCTTTCTCATTAAGGAACCTCACGGTTGCTAAGATATGTTTGTGTGGGCAGCCTCTGCGGAAATTAAGAGAGAGACTCTGGTGGGGCTGGAACACTGTTATCTCTAGGGAAGAAATTCCAGGGAAGAAATTGCAGGGTATCTCGTGGGAGATAGGTAAGTCCTCAACTTAGGCCCACCATGGACCCTGGGGGATGTCGCCAGGATTGTTAAGTGTGAAAAAATGTCGTAAGTCCTTGTTATCAGTGCTGCTGTAACTTTGGACAGACCCTAAATGAATGGTTGTAAGTTGAGGACTGACTACCTGTAGTAGACTTTTCCACGCTGAAGACCATTACGGCATCCCCGTCATCAAAATTCAGACACTTGTCAGGAGGAAATTATTAAGAAAATATTGGAATGTGCTGAAATGAGTAGATTGACATTTGAAATTAGAGAACAAGAGGATAAACAATTTTATAAAATTTGGGATCTTTTCTATCAATGGTTAGATAACAAAGTACAGTAATGAAATATGTAGATTTTTAGAAAATAATAAATATATAAAGATGTACTTTTTCCTATTAAACTACAAAATGATTTTAGGATAGATTTGGGATGATAATTTGAACTGTTATACAATAAATTAAGTAAATTATGGTTATCTTGTAAAACATGAATGAATAAAAGTATAGTCAAATGATTGGTTAATAATGATATTAAGGTATTTAGTTTTTGATTGACAATATGAGATTATATGTAATGTAATTGTAACTGAAGACTACGAAATGGAAGCAAAAAACAATGTGTAAACCAACCGGCACACTGTATGTACACCTATGGAAGACAGCTTGATGTTTTTATGTTTTGTTTGTTTATGTTTGTTTTTAAAAACCAATAAAATCTTTATTAAAAAAAAAAATTCAGACACTTGGCACAATTCAGACATATTTATGACGGTTGCAATATTCCCCGGATCCCCTTTTGAGACTTCCTGACAAGCAAAGCCAGATTCACTTAACAACAATGGTGATTCACTCAACGACTGTGGCAAGGTCGGTCATAAAATGAGGCAAGGCTCACTTAACGAACATCTCCCTTAGCAATAGAAATCTGGGGCTCACCTGTGGGCGTAAGCTGAGGACTTACCTGTATTGGTACCGCAGGGGTCTCAACCAGTTTGATGTAATGGGCAAGGCTAGAGACTGGGAGATTGGGAGTTCTACTCCCACCTTAGGCATAAAGCTACCTTGGGCCATTCACTCCCTCAGCCCTAGAGAGAATGGCAACATAGGCCTGAAACCTTGCCAAGCCATCTGCTGGGACTTACCAAGAATCAACACTGACTCAAAAGCACATGCTCACAACACACACACGCCCACGCAAAGGACCTGCTCATGATGCCTCAACTTGACTGCAATGACTTACAACTTCAATTCCAGTCTCAATTACGGCCAGTAAGTTGAAGACCAGCTTATACCAGGAGTCAACACGGACTCAAAAGCCTGAAGAGTCAACACGGACTCAACATGCTCATACTTGCTCGCACACATACACACTAGACATATTGGGTCTCAGGTTCTTTGTGTGGCTAATTCTGGGTTGCCGATGTTCCCACAACTGGAGTGGACACCCAGCCCATTCGATGTTGAAGGCAGCATCTGCGACACAATGGAGAATGTTCTCCTACGACAGAAGTGTGCAACTATAGCCCTTTTGTGACCTGTGGACTTCTACTCCATGTTGGCTCAGGAATTGTGGGAGTTGAAGTCCACAGGTCCTAAAGGGGCCAGAGTTGCCCACCTGCCCTAAGATTATGCTCCATCTTGCTTTGAACATTGCAGTGATGGTCTTCTAGAGTCCACTGCCCTACAAGACAGAGGAGCCGCCCTCCTGTAACACACTCCATCCTTCCTCAGCTTCTTTGAGCAATTAGCTGGAAATCCCTTCCCTGCACCGCTAGCCCTTTTCTAAAATTGGATTGTATTTTAACAATTGGGTGTTGGCCAGAAGAGGGTTAATGGAACAGAGATACCCT